AGCCTCAGTTCTACAATGCAGGTGAGTTGGAAAGCTAGAAGCAGTTTTTGTGGGACTCCTGCACTGAAAACACATGACACAGACATGTTTTTGTGCTGAATTAAGCCTGCTGAACCCTTAGTGATCCTAGAAACATGGGACTGAAGTCATGCCTGGTAGTCCATTCAGTACACATAAGAAAACTCACACATGTGTACACAGGAACAAATATAAAAATGCTCATACAGACATTTAAAATTGTTTTTTTATTTTGAGACAGATTCTCATGGTATAGTCTAGGTTGGCCTTGATCTGACAATCCCCCTGCCTAGCTCTCCTAGGATTACAAGTGTGTTTCATATAAAGGTTTTTTTGTTTGGTTGATTGCTTTTGAGAAAGGGTCTCATGTAGGCTATACTGGCCTTGAACTTCTAAACCTCCTACCTCCATGACTCTCAAGTGCTGAGATTATAGACATGAGTCACCATGCCTGGCTTACAGGCATTTTCTTGTTTTTGGATTTTTTTAAAAGAGTTTATTATTTTTATTATGTATACAACATTCTGCTTCCATGTATATCTGCACACCAGAAGAGGGCACCAGATCTCATAATGGATGGTTGTGAGCCACCATGTGGTTGCTGGGAATTGAACTCAGGACCTCTGAGAGAGCAGTCAGTGCTCCTAACCTCTGAGCCATCTCAAGACAGGGTTTCTCTGTGTAGCCCCAGCTGCTGTCCTGGAACTCACTTTGTAGACCAGGCTAGCCTCAAATTCATAGCGATCCACCTGTCTGTGCCTCCTGAGTGCTGAGATTAAAGGTGTGTACTAACACACCTTGGCTTCTAAAGACACTTTTTTGATATAACAAATTAGATGCAACTTAAATGTTTAACAACAAGAAATCAATATTCACACAATGGAATATAGAGCGGCTAAAATCAAACTCGAGATACATGTTAATATGTCTCTGAAACATACTATTTAGTGAAACAGGTACAGAGAAAAACACACAACTCAGCAGGACGCCTTTAATCCCAGCACTCGGGAGGCAGAGGCAGTCGGATCTCTGTGAGTTCGAGGCCAGCCTGGTCTACAAAGCTACACAAAGAAGCCCTGTCTCAACAAAACAAAACAAGAAAATAATGAATGTAAGATCTGTTAAAACTGACACACATGCTTTGTGGTATTTAATTTTGTTTATTTACTGTTTAGGAAGCAACCGTTTTTGTGAGGACTGGATGCAGGCTTTTTTACATGGTGCTGAAGCGGGTAACCCTTTTCTTTTCAGACAAATCCTGGAGAATTTTAAACTAAAGGTAATGAATTGGCTGTATGCCAAGGGCCACGTACAGTGTTTTTGTTCTGAATCTAATTACTGCAGGTGGTAGCATCAGTGATTGGCTTTCACAGTCACAGTGCTCTTTAAATGAGGCTTCCTCAGTTCTTGTGTCACAAAAGGCACCTGCTGGCCAGCAGCATTGCATGCATGCAATTTCATTTCCAGTACTTTGTGGTGAATTGCTTGCTTATATTTAGGGGACATCAAGCTGATAACTTGTGATGCATATCAGTTACAATATACAGAAACAAATGATTTCAAATTCTGGTAGTTAAGTGCTGTCACCTAGGAGATTTTAAATTAAAAAAAAAATTTTTGTGTGTGTTTTTGAGACAGGTTTCTCTGTGTAACAGCCTTGAATTCACAGAGAACCACCTGCCTGTGCCTCCCAAGTGCTGGGATTAAAGGTGTATGCCAGCAAGGCCTGGCAGAAGACTTTTTTTTAAAGTCTTTTTAAATGTGAGATTCTGAAACCCCAAAGGAAATGCTTTTTAGCCATAGAAATAATGGGGTGGTTTTTAAAAAGCCCAACATTAGCCAGGTGTGGTGGTGCACACCGTTAATCCCAGCAATGGGAGGCCGAGGCAGGCAAACCCTCTATAAGTTTGATGTCAGCCTGGTCTACAAAGTGAGTTTTCAGACAGCCAGGGCTCCATAGTGAGACCCTATCCTAAAGAAACAAAACAAAATAAAGCAAAAGCCTATATTGTCAACATACACTGAGTGTTCAGCTTGAGAGGGGACATTCTTCACATCTTGTCATTACTTCACTAAATAGATTTAACTGGGTAATTTTTTCCTAGGCTATACAAGACACAAACAATCTGAAGAGATTTATCCGACAGGCAGAGATGAATCACTATGCTTTGTTTAAATGTTACCTGTTCCTTAAGAACTGTGGCAGTGGAGATATTCTTTTGAAGATTGTTAAAGTGGAACATGAAGAAATGCCCGAAGCCAAAAGTGTGGTGGCAGTCCTTGAAGAATTCATGAGAGAAGCACTCGACTGAGCTTTTGATCATGACGTGTATTGAGGATGCATGTGTGGAACTGTAGTTGTCATCGTTTATAGGATTACACTGATCCTAAGATGACTGGAAACACCCAGGCTCTTTCTTCCTTTTGTACTTTTTTGTTGAACTTAATTAAACACAAAAATCTGAGGATTATCATCACAGAGTCCTAGGCAGATAATGTCTATTACAATTGTGGAATTTTACTACATTGCTAGTCTCATAAATTTTAAGCTTCAAACATGTGGCTGCCTCAAAAGCTTTGGAAGTGATGTTTGCCTTCTCAGGAGCTTACTCTAGTATTTAGCAGGTTTTCCTTCTCCTCAAGGAAAAAAAAAAAAAAAGTAGCTCTTTTTCAATAGACTGTAGTTTTGTTTTGTTTTGTTTTGTTTTTTTGGTTTTTCGAGACAGGGTTTCTCTGTGGCTTTGGGGGCTGTCCTGGAACTAGCTCTTGTAGACCAGGCTGGTCTCAAACTCACAGAGATCTGCTTGCCTCTGCCTCCCAAGTGCTGGGATTAAAGGCGTGGGGCACCAACGCCCGGCTGACTGTAGAATTTTTTAAGTATGTGATCCTAGTAAAATGCGATAACCGCCTGTAATCGCAGCTACTCAGAAGGTTGAGGCAGGAGGTTTCAAGTTGCAGGCCAGCTTGTTACAAGAGTTAAGTTTGTATCCAGCTTGGACTAACAGCAACCATCATCATACTGGTCTCACTTGCAGGACCACACTGTTTACCCTGTGGATGCCTGATACATATTGATGGTTGGCATGAACAATGATGCCACCTTTTTAAAGCCAATGTGCAAATAAAATAAGTGTATGAGAATTTTAAAGTGAGCTGGGTGGTGGTGACAAATTTCATTAATCCCAGCACTCTGAACGCAGAGGCCGACAGATCTCTGTGTTTGAGGCCAGCTTGGTTTACAGAGTGAGTTTCAGGGTAGCTGAGGCTACACAGAAAAACACTGTCTTGAAAACCAAAAAATAAAATACAAGTTTAAAAATGATCTTTACATTGTGTATAGATGCTTTGGGGCTGGCAAGGTGGCTCAGAAGGCAAAGAAGCCTGCCACCAGGTCTGACAACCTATGTTCAGGGACCACACAGCAGGAGAGAAGCCCACTCCCACACAGCAGGAGAGAGAGAGCCCACTCCTACACAAAAGGAGAGAAGCCACTCCCACACAGCAGGAGAGAAGCCACTCCCACAAGTTGCCCTGTGACACCCTCCCACACACATGCACATACAATAAATACAGTAAGAAATAGGGGGCTAGAGAGGTGGCTCAGCAGCTTAAGAGCATGGTTGCTCTTGGAGAAGATCCAGGTTTGGTTCCCAGAACCTACATGGAGGATTACAACAGCTGTAAGTTCAATTCCAGGGAATTTGATACCACGTTCTGACATCCATCTATTAGGGGCATATGTAATGTTCAGATCTACATGCAGGCTTCACTCACACACATAAAATAATCTAAAAGAAAGAAAGAAAGAAAGAAAGAAAGAAAGAAAGAAAGGAAAGAAGGAAGGAAGAAAGAAAGAAAGAAATGGCTATACTAGCTTCAATATGAAACATTCTCTCAGATGTAAACTTTTGCAGAAGGGGCCACATCATTTATAGGTATTTACTTGCCAGGAGCCTGTATTTTCTTCCTTTTTTGTTTTAGATGAAAATGCAGGGGTTTTTAAACAGTATTAAGAAAAAAAAAAAAAACCAGCAAGCACAGTAAATATCCTGTACAAGCAAATATAAGAATGCAAACTGAAAGCCAGTGTGGTGGATGGGTCCCTTTGATGCATCACTCTACAAGCCAGAGGTAGTTGGAGCTCTATGAGTTCAGGGCCAGCCTGGTGTTCTGATTTACATAGCAAGTTTCAGGTCAGCCAGAGCTAGTGAGACGCTGTCTTAATAAGTAAATATTTTAAAAAGTTTAAAAATGCCTTGGGGAATTGGTGGCACATGCCTTTAATCTCAGCACTCAGGAGGCAGAGGCAGGCGGATCTCTGTGAGTTCCAGGCCAGCCTGGTCTACAAGAGCTAGTTCCAGGACAGCTTCCAAAGCCACAGAGAAACCCTGTCTTGAAAAAAACAAAAAACAAAATTTAAAAATGCAAACAAATTCTTCCTTTCACAATTGCACATTGATTTTTGTTTGGGCCTGTGTCACAGCCTTATTTTACCCTGACTCAATTATAAGTGCCCCTGGGTGGCCATTTCTAATTGCCATGGATGCCAGCTACAGCCACACACATAGTTGTTCTGCATAGCTCTTTAATGAATCCATTTGCTGATAACTTTGGTTTAGAAAAACAGAAGCCTTATATTCTCAATGTAAACCAGAGGAACTCTTAACTGCTTGTAAACTCATGAGTGACAGTGGCCTTCTGCCTTCTCTCTCCATATGTCAGCCTAGGGACATGACGCCCTTTCTTTTCCTTTAATGGGAAATACAATTCAGGATCTTCATAAATGCTTTCATATGGCTTTAAAGTTTAATAACTTGAATTATAGGCAGTATAGAAAAGAGTCCAAGTAGCATTTTTATAGCCATCTGACGACTGGATAGTCAGCGGCTCTGCAGCACTTTTCTGGACTCTTCCTAATGCACTTGGTTGGCCACTTGGAAATCATTTTGTAAAAATGAGCAACATTAGGACATCAACATCTTTTGTTGTTGTTGTTGTTGTTTTTGCTTTTTTGAGACAGGGTTTCTCTGTGACTTTGGAGGCTGTCCTGGAACTAGCTCTTGTAGATCAGGCTGGTCTCAAACTCACAGAGATCCACCTGCTTCTGACTCCCGAGTGCTGGGATTAAAGGCGTGCGCCACCAACGCTCGGCTCTGTTTTCATTTTTTAAAATTATCATTGGTAAACATTTTAGTACATTATATGATGAATGAGAATCTGACAGAAAGGAAGAAACAGAAAAGTAAAGGGAAATGGGAGGAGGCCAAAGGCAAATTTCATTAAACAGCTTTTGATTTTCCAAGGAGCTGCCTTGATGCCTCAGATATCTGGATCTTAGGAAGCCGCAGTGGAAAATGTTTGCAGCCAACTCAGCTCTGCACTTTGCAAGTAAAAGTGGGTGTTTAGTTAGCCTGAACTAAATGCACTCTTGATGTTAGTTTTGGGATGGCTCCTGCAGTGTTTGAAAACATTTTTCAGTAATACACAGGAAATTGATAGTGAAGGTAAACGACCCCCATTCTACACTTAACAGGGCAATTTAATCTTCAAGCATTCAGTAGTTGTTACCAGTGAAGCCACAGAGGCTGATGCTGATCTAGAAAAGGTGGGCACACAGTTGGCTTTTCCAGGCCTCATCCATGTAAAGCCAGCTCAGTTACTAAACTTCAGAAGTCCTAGGATTTGCCTTCAGCATATAGGCTGCTTTCATTTCCCCTTCTGGATGTGAACTTGACCATGCCCTGTTTTTCAACATTAAATTGTTGATGGCCCCTAGGAGGACCTAAAGACTAGGCTTACTGAGGTAGAGAACGAGGTCTTTTAGGCATTTCAAAGACTTCTCTAATAATAACAATCATATATTAAGCGTGTGTGTGTGTGGGGGGGCATTTGTATAGTGAGTGAAGTCCTGAGTGAAGTGTATTGTTGACATGACCAAGGCCATGTCAAGGACCCCAATGTGTCAGCGTCAGCGTCACTCAAGGGAGTGAGTGGTAAAGCCTCCGCTGAGTGAGGCTCAGAGGGATGGCAAATGTTTCTTCTGCTCTGAGACAGTATGTGTAGAAAATGTCCAGCTCAGCTTTTGCTCCTCCACATGTTTATGTCCTGAAGACAGTGTCCCTAACAGAGACTGCGCCTATCTGAGATTAGACCCCGCCTCCTTTCCTGTTCAGCAGTATATAATAAACACTGAGCTTGTGGGGCAGGCTTGTGGCTTCTCCATCCATGACCATCCCCTGCCAGCTTTTCTGTCCTTGAGTTCATGTGTTTGCTGTTTCTTCATTCCCTTGCCACGTGTCAATCCCTAGAGCAGTGTAGAGCGAGGCACTTACGACAGCTGGATGAGTGGAAGGGAAGGCAGGCCTGAGGGGACACTGGCACTGAGACTGTCACTCAGGCTAAGTTCCCTAACTACTGGCACCCACCTTCAAAACTGTCCAGAAGTCTCCCTTCCTGAGTGTATTGCTATGGGAAGAACAATCAGTTTTCACCAGCCACTCAGGGAAGGGTAAGGGAAACAGTGCCAATCACCAGTGCCCCAAACCACCAACCCACCACCACCAGTGCTTTCCTTCTCCCACCCACCAGGAGCTAGACGAAGACAAAACAGTCCCATGGCAGCCCTTGTGGTCACTTCTTGAATAACTGATAGCTTTAAAAAAAATCTTTAATGGAATCTGTGCTCAAATAATATGTTACAACAAAAATATACAGAATGTACACAATACAAAAATATTTAGAAACCAACACCGTGGCTAGTGTTTTGTTTTTCACTTACTTAGTCATAGGAGGGGC